TCGATTTTTTTTGTTGGATAGATTTCTCTGAAGTCATGACTATCTGGGACTCATTTTTGATGTCAAATATCGAGAATGAAGTGTCAACGAATTCTAATTCAGGACTACATAAAACCTAACTATCCTAATTTCCATTGAGGTCGAATACAGCGTGGCTCGAACTATCCCGGGCGTCGCGCTTAAGCATTACTCCTGTAGAATGTTTGTTTATGACTCAATTTTGATAATTCTTTTTTTGTTGGATAGATTTCACTGAATGACACTAAAGATTTTTTTAGGTAGTCCTGAACACGAATCTGTTGTCATTTTCAATTTGAAAAAATTTCGGTTTTTCGTTTCAAAAACTCTGTCAGTTAGCCATGACTTTAGTCGATTCTATACGAAAAAAACATTTTATTTCTCTTTCTCTCTATCCAGTAACGAAAAATTGAGTCATAAACAAACATTCTACAGACTTAAGCGAGGCGCCCGCGATATTTCGAGTACCCTGTATTCGAACTTAATCGCAATTTGTATAGTTAGGTTTTATGTAGTCCTGAATAAGAATTTGTTGAAACTTTATTCTTAAAGAAATCCATGATAGCCCTTCTCGTATGTTACATCAAAAATTAGTGAGAGATCTATCCAAAAATTATCAAAATCGCACCGATATACAACTTTAAGCGGGGCACAAACGATATTTAAAAAACCATGCATTGAAACATAAAAAATGGTTCTAAGTGCTTAATAAGAATTCGTTTCCAATTTATTTAGTACTTCTCTCTTCTCTCTTTCGTTAAATAGTCTCAGTTGGCTATGACTTTAAATTAAAACAATAAACAAAACAAGGTTTTAGTGCATTTTTCAGAGAACTATCCAACAAAAAAAATTATCAATATCGAACCATAAACAAAGATTTTACAAGGGTGTACAGTTCTTAAGCGCTAGACAAGGTATATAGAGTTATTTTTTAGTTTTATTACTTGTCATAAAAAGGTATAATTTTACTTAAAACTTATGTTATTATACCTAACAGGTATATTGTGTATATATTTAATAAATATACATAAAAAAGGATACAATATCGTAGAACATAATTCGATTTTACCAGCAGGGTTAAATTTGATTAGACTTTAGGCTTGACTAGGCAGTATATGTAATTTCTTGATGTATATCTTGTTTATCAATAAAGTCAATTATTATATTATTTGGACGAACGTATAGCAATAGCGGGCGCGCCTTCATATACAGAAATTCCGTTTTTTTTGTTTCGTAGATATGAAAAAGGTCCACAATTTGCATTTATCTGTTTTGAATGTACAGTAGTTTATGTGTAATGGAACCGGTAAAAAAATTTCATAAATCGTTAAGTACTTTAAATGGGTATCGATACTTAAGTATCGCTAAAGGCGTATTAGAATTCTGGGATAATAACAGGAAAGGATTTAGATTAACTAACCAATTGGTAGCTTTTTCAAAGTTGATCATACAATTAACAGTGGTTCCTCAAATAAGTAATGTGGTTTTAACGACGGTCGTTCGTTTTTCGTATATAAATTCGGAAAAGATTTAATACTACCTATATTTCAACATTAGACCGACTTCTGTAAACTACAGCAGTTCATAGCAATTTTCTATTTGGAAGAGTAGTTGCTCGATTATGGATTTGTCCCAGGTATGTCTTTGAATTATTAAACACACGTTTGGAATTTACTTTAATTTTTTGTATTAGTATTTTATCAATCTTTTAGTAGTTTAGCAATATTATTTTTGGGATGTGTGTATTAAGCCCAAAAGTTGTATTTTTTCTACATTAAGATTATCTATCTGGTCAAGTGTATGTATTAGTAAGGTTTACGATAAAAACTATTTTTTTTTAAATAATTTGAATGTTGTCAAATGTACCTAAGCTAATTTAAAAGTGCTCAAATACTATAATAAATAGGTAAGCGAAGTTTGCAATTTTTTTTTTTTATAAATCATGGCAAACCGAAGATGACTGTTCTGCTAAAATACGAAAATTAAAAAGAGGGGGTCTTTTTTCATAAATATTGATTCTTAGTGTTGATGTTAGAGTAATAGAGTAAACTTTTTTAAAAACTTTATTGGAAATAACTACTTCTTCTTAATGTGTGGAGCACTGAAATAGAATTTAGAATTTTTGGTTAGTTTTTGCTGGTTTAGATTTTTTAAACTTCAACTCTAAGAATAAATTTTATGGAAAAAATTATAATTCGAAATTTCGGATCCGGGGTCGAAAATTACATAATTTGACGAATCAAATGAGCCTTTATGCTATACAGACATCCAATTAACCTTTTTAGTTTTGTAAAAATATAAATGGACTTTCTTTCAACTATTGATTGTCTTAAATAATCGCAAAATCGTAATAAAATTGGGTTAAAAACTAGTAAATATTTTAATCAAATCTTTGTATATTCCAGGTCTTGTTTTTCGTTTTCGCTATCCTCATGGCGATTGCGACAGCTACAGCCACAGCTCTGCCATCACGAAAGAAGGGCGGCGGCCATGGGCATGGTCATCATGGGCATCATTACAATCATGGTTATTATCACCACGGTTAAGAAATTAAAATGTCAGTGATTTGTAATAATTTAGTGTTAAAAAAATATGTTATTTATTTTATTGGTTTGCTTTTTTACCATACCCAATCGCTATAATGACACCATTTGGTTAGCCTATCAGCATCGCGGTTCCTGTTTTCATTTAAAAAAATAATTGTTCCAAAGTTAACTACGTAGAAGAGCACAGGGGAATAACTTAATAATAACAAAAATGCCAATTTTATGAAGTTAAAATCTATAGTGATGTTTCAGAATAGGATCTTTAAGTAATCTAAAGAAGAAACCAGTTTAGTTTTTTTTTTTGGGTAACAAAGGACGTAAAAAGTATACAAAAATGGTTTCTATGTTACAACTGCCTAAATGTGTTTATTAAATCTGAACGAATGTTAAAAAATCCCTAGCCTCTGCAGAGGATAATATTCTAATGTTTAGATAAAAATATTTTAACAATCAACGTTTTTTAGAGTCAATTTGATTTTTTTTCTTGTCTGGCGAATGGCTTCAATTGAAAAAAATAAAAAAACGTATATACGACTGAAAATCCGCATTCTTTTCTTATTTTTTTAGAAATAGTCCCACTGCGTGTGTGGTGTTGCAAAGTATAGTTTGGTTGAAAATATGACCAACCAACTAATAAACTTTCTGTCTCTGGTTCGAACGAAAAAAGGTCAAGAAATCATGGGTCCTAGGATAGATCCTGAAATGATCAGGAATTTTATTCATTTTAAGTAATCGGCGTGCATGATATTTTTCCAAAATATCTAGTTTACACATGCTAGTTCAAAAATATCTTTCACTATAATAAAATACCAGTTTTTCTTGAAACTCCGGTTATCATGCAATTTGACAAGTTCAATACATGTTTTTAAACTCCGCAACTCAAAATTTAAGATGTTTAGGACATGGGTTTGTTCGAACTGTACTTTTAAACCGCTTTGCACATTTTATACTGAAACAACTTGTATAATATAGGAATACAAGCATTATAATAAATTTTGGTTAATATTTATTCCTGTATATTTTTATTGGCACTCAATTGGTCAAGTGGTCCCAGGTTAAACGCTGACAATCGCATACATTTTGTGAGTCGAGTAGGAAATGAAGTTTTTGTATCAATCAATATATTTTCAATTTAATTCTTGACAATCTTAAATTCCACCCCCGCATATCAATTAAAAAAGGGCCAGTTCTAGTCAGAGTCTCATCTAAAATGACGATATCGTTAAAATTGCTGATAGAAAGTAGTAACATTTTTAAGTTGTTATTTCCTATGGTTTAATTTTTTTTGCATTTTTGTTACATAACATAAATATTTCCATTATAGGACTTGAGATATTCGTCCACTAATCGGAACCGGACGGACGGCACGCATCGGACGAATCGGATTATTTAATTAACTACATCTGTTTCAATATCACGGACGGGATTACAAAGACGAAATCAAAATCCGTTGTCACTGCCAATGCTGATAATGCGGATACCGACAAGTCCACGCAGGCATCGACACCGGCGCCATATTTCCTTTTCAAAGTTTATTGAGAAGACAGCCAGGTTTTGCTAGTTAAGGTCGTGACTTTCTTCCACATTGTCTAAATGTAATTATGAATGTAGCAAAACTTATTATAATTGTGCAGGAGTATGAAGAAAGTTACAATTTGTGACATCCATAATATTCTAACGTTCTTCGCAGAGACAATATTTGAGATGAAATCGTGAAGAGAATGAATGAATCGAGTACATAATTATGTTTACTTAAAATGTAATAAATAAATTGCCATGCCGTAATGATTTTGTATATCGAATTTTTGGTGAGTGGTTGTGGTTTGGACTTAATTCGATTTTGCTATAGCAATGACAAGACGTGACTGCTACAATTCTGTCACAGTGAAAAATAACATGCAGTGATTTTTTGGAGCAGTTTATTTTCTTACATTCTTTTAAATAGTCACTGTCACTGTCAAATTAAACGGGACTGAAAATCATTTTTTAAAATATGGCGCAGACTGCGACTGTGCCATCGATGTAGCAATGACAAAAGTAGAAACATACATTGCAGCACCTGATTCTACAAAAAAAAACAAATTTTTTTGTTAACAAAATTTTTAAATTCGGTTGCAGCTTGAGTAGATAAAAAATAAAATTTACATTTTTTATTTACTCAAGTTGCAATCGGGAAATTATAACATCTTTTTCATTGAATAACGACACACTGCTTTTGCTACAACAACAATTAGCTAACTGCAGAGAGAAATATTGATACGGACTCTAATAATTCGTTGAAGGTAACGCAAGCCATAAAAAAAATCGAATCGTCCGATACGTACCGTCCGTACAATGTCGATTAGTGGACGCCTACCGTAAATCTTTCGTGATCCATGCCTTAGTTTATAACCTACAAAGCTTTGGAAAAAAGATGTTTACAAAAGGTGTACCTACCATTTTGTTTTCAGTGCGTATTTAACCTCCAAATGTCAACAAATTTATTATGGTAAACGTCAGTACAGTATATTAGCAAAATCTTAAATAAAAATGAGTAATTGTGCATAAAATTAAAAATGGAACAAGTTCGCTTATTAGTTAAAGAACAAGGTCGCGAGGCTCGTAATCTTTTAACTTTTAATATTTCAGCAGGCAAAGATTTTCGCTGTAAGTTTAAAACAACCATTTTATTTTATATATGCTGGCTATTTTTAAAATATTGTATGATTTTGTATGGAAGAAATTTAAATAAACTAGAAAAGGAAAAAATATCTTACAGTCCATGATAGTATGTAATAAATTCAAATGTTTATAGCCAAAGTGTCAGAGAAACCACCCTGCCCTCCTAGGATAGCTGACAATATTCAGTCTTCAGAGCCAATATATATGAGAGGGCGAAGTGGTGCGCGAATTCGTTCTGCTTCTACAGGTCGCGATAAGAAATCAGAATTAAGAGCTAGGTATTGGGCTTTGTTATTTGGCAATTTGCAGCGCTCTGTAAGTATGACCTATGGTATGGTTGACTTTTCTGTTTTCTGATGATTTTGAAGATTTGTTAATGTTGACCAAAGTATACGAGTTTTAATTTGATATGCATTGTATATTGTATATTGAAAAAAATGGATTAATTTATTTTCAGCAATTATTACCAAAAAAGTGCCGTGCTAACAATGTTGTTTTCTGCATTTTTAGATTGCTGAAATATACAATACTGTGGAAACACATGAAAGCCTAACTGAATGTCAAGAGGTATTACTTGTCCTTGAAAATTACTTGCGGGATTTTTCTGCCTTAGCAGATTGGTTTAAACTTAAATGGGATTATGAAAATACTCCAGCCCCACAAAAACCAACTTCACTTGCTTGGGACATTTGTAAAACCAACTTAGGAAGAACAAATAGATCTGGAAAGAGCAGCCCAATTCTAGGAAGTAGAAGTAATAGCCCCAATGTTACAGGAAAAATTAGTCCCAGAGCTTTTTGTTCAAAATGTACTGTATATAACCTATATATACTAATTTTTTTGGTTGGGCATAAAATATTTTTATTTCTAGGTAAATCTGGTTTGTCGTGTCCATCAAGTCCATTGCCATCAATTGATCAACCAATTTTTGAAGGAAAGCCTTTAGAAACAACTTTAAATACTGGAACAACTTTTGGAAAATCAGATGTAGTTGTCGGTATAGATACAGGAGGAAAATCAGTAGATGTATATAAATTATTAATAACAACTTTCTGTTTGACATAACTTTGTTAAATTGATTAGTTTCATACTAAACCATAATTTATTACTTTTATATTGATTATTATGAAGGAAAATTTCTATTTTAGGTGTCATGTTTCACAGGAGATAAACCCACTATATCCAAACCTGAAAGTTTGCATAAAGAACAACCAAAAATTGAAAATGCTAATTCACAGAAAACTGAATTGAAGATGACTGATGTTAAGTCAAAAGCTGTTAATAAAATAGCTTCCAAAATTTCCAATACTATAAAAAAAGACAAAAATGCTGCTAATACCACAGCTTGTTTTAAGAAAACAGGTGATGATTTAAGGCCTATTTCAAAAGATAAAAACAAAACTGAAAATAAAGGTCATGCAACAACCATGGATATTAACGCTGGTGAGACTGGACACGCAAAATTTGGTGGAGCTTTGGATTCTAGTACTCCTAAAGAAAAGGAAAATGCTACTATGACCTTAGCATCTGCAAATGTATCACTAATAATAGACAGTACTGAATCTGTGTGTCTTGAACAAAAGAAACAACATTTTGATCTCAAGCTTCCACAGAACATTCCGCTGATATGCAACAATGAAAGTGAACATGTAGACTCCCCAAGTGAAGACCAAAGAACCTATGATATTTTGAGAAAAGTTGGAGTGGAGAGTGCTGAGAAAAGTACCAGCACTGATGATTTTCCAAGGTAGGCAATACAGTTTTCCATTTTGGAGAATGATTGTAATTGATCCATCCTCCACTCCAAATTTGAACTTTGGTTAATTTATGGTTTGTCATTGTTTCCCGTAGGTTGCCCGCAAGAAAAGGAAATGTGATTAAAGTAAGTCAGGAGTGTCAAACAGATGTGGAAAGTGAATTTGAAAACAAGGATCCACAAAAAACAGACATTGAAAGAAAAGTGGTTCCCACTCAATTAGCAGCCATCCCCAAAGCCGGAAAATCCGAAATACATAGTCGAACAATCCCAAAATCATCAACAGTGGTACGCCCCCCTTATTCAGTAGCACTCACAAAAAGCGCATCTGCTAAAGTAGTTCCAACTAGACCCAAAGTGGAAATTAGACATACTATTTCCAGTTTAAGAGCTGTTGTCACTCAAAAGTCTTTATCCAAAACTTCATGCGGAAGGGAAGACAGGTTTGGAAGTAATGTCAGGTCAGGACTGATGAGAAGTCAAACTGTAAGTTTAAGTTTACTAGATATAAATTTATTTTTACTACTAAGTAATCAATTAATTACTTAATTACTTAATCACTTGACCATAGATACCCATTACAATTTTTGATATATTTGATTTTAGGTTAGCGATATGAAATCAACATTAAATCATCCTGGACCAAAGCAGAAAGTGTCCCAGACCACTAACAATGATGTAAAATCATCCTCAATTAAATTGCCAGCAAAGCGACTACTACTGCAGAAAAGCAAAACTACTCTCACCAAAGAAAATCTGTCCAAATCTTTATCTTTAGAAGAAAATGCCAGTTCTGTAGAGACGTTGGTGAATCAAAGTCATTCCAGAGACAATATAAATGTTACAAATTCTAGTAACAGTATTGCCAGTTCTCAGGAAACCTTGAATAATGAAAATGTTTCCCAACAGGCTGATGGATGGTTTACAGTCAAATGTCGTTCGAGACATAGACACAGCAATAATAAACCACGCAGGTAAGCATTTTAGAAATTGTTTTTTAAGAGCTCCACAGCACCAGCACAGCAGCTCTACTAAATATTGTTATTGAAATGCATAAGGAATTGCTAGAATTGGCAGAATTGAATGTCATTTTGACACTTTCTTTTGTTAATGAGTTCTTACACAGAATATTTTAAAACAAAATGACATTTTACTATTATTTGAGAACTAAGAATTCTTAACATTTTTTCTAACTAAATTTTGATTTCTTGCAATTCTGGTTTTGTTGTTGTATGTTGTTTATCTGGTTTTCACAGGTCAGACACTGGTTTGACATGGGCAACAAGATTCCATCAAGTTAGTGCCACAGCCAGTCTGCCAGCACTAGCACTACTTCCTGAAACTCCTGAAAATTCAAAATCTCAGAAATCTCTGGAGAAAAGTGTTAAAGAAAACCTAAATAATCTTAAGTCATTAAAGAAATCCGCCGATAAAATTGGGGGAATAGAAAGATCACAATCAAACTTGACAAAGTCCTCGTTAAATAACAATCATTCAGTGCAGCAGAAAAACAAATTTAATTTAAATATTAAGAAGAATACTGATTGGAAAAAAAGGGAAAATGAAAATCAACAAGTAAGTGTTGTAAATTATTCTTTTAAAAATAATTATACCATATCAAATTTTGTAGGAATTTGATTTGGACTCCGAAACTGATGAGGAAGTTAAATTGAAAGAAATGCAAGAGGATATGGCCACTGAGGAAGAGCATAGGAAAAAAACCAAAGAATTAAATGATGAAGAAGACAGACTGCATAAAGAAATTGAAGCATTGAAAGGCCTAGATATAGAAGTTGATACTGAAACAGATGGTACTGAAACTGATGGTGATGAGTTGCAAGGTGATATTGATGATTGTCCAATCTCACTGTTGGATGATGACCATGTATCATTGGAAGCAAGATATGAACCTATGTTAGCAGGTAATTTGTTAATACTAGGAATATTTATTCCTTAAATTACATTTTCACTTTTAGAGATGTCATGGAGTGACAGAATTGACACTTTAGCAGCTCTAGAAGCAATAAATGCAAGACATCCAGGTAGAGCTTTGGAGCTACATCAAAAACTCTCAAATCCGCAAAGGAAAGTTAATCTAGCAGAAGCTGTAAGGAAGTATCAAGCCAAACAGGCGAGAGCACAACAGAGACGTCAAGATTTAGCTTTAGAAAAGGCACAAAAGTTGCAAGCATTATCAGCTAGAGTTGATGATGTAAAAGCTGCTAAGTTACAATTAATTGAGGAGAAAAGAAGGAGAATGGAGCTAAGGTATCATATCAAAGCAGTTTTGGTTAGAAAGAGAATCTTGACATAGTTCACTAGCCATTCACTAGACAGTAGCTAGTTCTCAGAAAACAGGACCCAAGAGATATATTGTTTTAATTTTTAACACATATAAATTTTTTTAAGTATGTGTGAAAATTACTAAAACTTTTTGCAATTGTAATAATTAATTTTTTGATCATTTTGTTCCCAACTTATAATTTATTGACAATTCCTGCTTGACTACGGCAATATTACTACAATTTGTTAAATATTGTGCTTACATATATTAAGTTTGCATATTTAATTTCTTGGCAGATTACAAAAGGCAGCACAAAATCGCAAGAAGCACCTTAAAGGGATTGTCAAAAAAGCTCATGATGAGGAAGAGAAACTGAAAGAAATTGCATTTATCAACGAACTTGAGGCACAGAATAAAAGGTAAGTTGAAACACATTTTAAAAGTCTACTGAAGTACTACTAAACATTTAATCATTGTAGGCACGACTTTCTACAGTCTTGTCAGGAGCGTCGTGGTAGAATTCAAGGTATTCATGAGGATAGAAGAAAAAAGCAAGAGGAGAAGGCGGCCAAGGAAGCAGCTGTAGAAGAAAGAAGAAAGGCTTTGGAACGGGAAAGAATAGAACGTTTGGATAGACTGCAGGACGAGAGGAGGCAAAGAGATGAACGAATTGGTCAGCAACAGTTGCAAAGAGAAAGAGAAAGGCAGGAGCTTGCCAGAGAGAAGGCTAGAGATAGAGAGGTAAGGTTTGCTATGTCTTGAATAAACTGTAGGTATTAAAAATCTGGACAAGAACCTAGTCAATTATATTTATGTTGAATAATATGAATAATAATAGCTATAACATGATAAATATAAATAATGAAAAGGATAACAAAAATTTGGACCAATTCAAGCAAAGCCTTAAGTGTTAAAATTAACATGGAAACATATACAGGTCACGAAAAATATTATTCGGTTATAGCGTTATCGTGAGTATGGCAGAGTTACACCGAGACTCTTGGAATGTAACAGAGTGAAAAGAAATGTAGGCTGTTGCCTCGAGATTAAATAAAAATCTGTTTGGATCCCTCCTCCCACCTCCGCGTGGCGCGAAAAGGAAAAACAAAAGGCGACACGACGCCTATCTTACTAACAGAGACGTCGTGGCGTTTGGTTGAAGTAAGCCTTTTACCTTAAAAAGGGAAAAATTATTCGTTTTTTTTCTTTAATGTTAGTATATTCGACCACCAAAGAAGAGGTTCATATCATCAAGTGATATTTCTGGGTAGTTCGCCTCGAGAAATTATTCGCAGACTTGCATTTTTGTTTGAAAATAGGCGAATAATTAATAATTGCGAAAAGCATGGTTGTTTACTTAATTGTAGAAAATGCCTATAATCTTTTGACGAACAATCTGTTCCTGAGCGTCCTTAAACGAGTAAAGGGAACGCTGAGAGTTGTGAGAAGTTGTGCTTTAGCAAATGTAAACTGCCCGTGCAATAGTGTTCCAATTTTCCGGGAACTTGTGATAGAACCAAAAACAGTCCCGAATATTTTGAAGAGAAATGTACACAAGTGTTATAAATTACAGACTATGCTGGAAATTTGATCAGCAGATCATGAGAAACGCATGGTAATCTGTGAAGAAATGATTGAATGAGCTAACCAAAATGTAGATTTTTTACTGAATATTTTAGTCATCGATGAATCTTCATTTTCGTCATAATCCGGCAGTGGCTGTTAGGTATTCACAAGAAAATCAACACATGTCAATTCCTTTAAGGACTCAGTGTCCGGAAAAGGTCAACTTATGGGACGGTATTTTAAGAAACACCCCTTTTTTTATTGATGAGAATTTAAATACAAACAAATATTTCGATATTTTGCGTCATCAAATAATTGCAGCAGTTCGAGGTCTTAATATCCCTGTTCATGAAATTTGTACCAACAAGATAGTTGCCAAATACAGAATGCTGGGAGAATTCGGGATTTTCTAAATATATATATATATATATATATATATATATATATATATATATATATATATATATTATATATATATATATATATATATATATATATATATATATATATATATATATATATATATATATATATATATATATATATATATATATATATATATATATATATATATATATATATATATATATATATATATATATATATATATATATATATATATATATATATATAGTTGAAAAATATGCTTTTCTTGGATCCTTGTATATTTTTTATAGGATGATTCTTAGGGTTTGGTCCACAGTGAACAAAACTCACAAATAATTTTAAAACACTGTAATTGTCATTGACGTTTCGACCGGCAACCCAGGTCTTTCTCAAAAACTGCAAAACAAAGGACAAAAAAAGCGTCTAACACAGAATATCTTAAACAGTAGACATAGACGAATTTAAAAATTACAAATATTACAAAAACAAATGACATATATTAGTCATACTCACAAATTTATTATTTTTTTTAAATGTCTATTATTAGCCCTGTTTGTGAAAAAGTACCACAACATACATCATTGCCAAAAACAATAACGTTCTTGCTTTGGCGTACGAATCGTACAAATAGAAGTGGAAAATAAACATTCTGATGTCTTTTTTTTTTCCCTCTTAGTTTTTATTTATTTATTTTTTTAGAGTGTACGTTTGTGTTAAGTTTAAGATCTACTGATACGCAGTGAAGCATGTGAGCATTAAAATGGTCTACTTTAACAATTCGAAATAGATTTCACTCAGGTGTTTTATGTCGGTTTTCGCGTTTATGGCGTTTTTATTCCTTTGAATATGTATCATCTCAATTATTTCCCTTTTTTGTGTGTTTGGTTCGGTAGCAAGTATTTTTGTGTCATCGAAGTTAAAGGTATGTGTTTTCTCCGTTATATGGCTGCCGATGGCTGTTTTATTTTTTACAGAGCTTCCCTTAAACACATTCAAGATTTTTTCCGATAAATTTGGTACGTATGGCAACGAACAATATTCTCGTTTTGATGGTTGTGTGTTTTCCTTAACAGAAATCTTGTTGTAGAATTTATGTATCCTTCTTTTAAAAATAGAGTTAATTAAGGCACTTGGGTAATTGTTTAGTTTTAGTGTGTACTTAGCCTTATATAAAGCTTCTTTTCTGTACTCTGGATCAGATAGATTTATAGTTCTGTCAGCCAACCCGATAATAACAGTCTTTTTTTGTGATATTGGGTGTTGGGAGTGAAAATTAAGGTATCGTCCAGACCATGTATCTTTTGTGTACCACATCGTTCTGATTTTGTTTTCCTTGCGTATTAGTGTCATGTCTAAGAAGTTAATTTTGTCATCTTTTTCATATTCTATGATAAATTTTATCTTTGTGTGATATGAGTTAAAACTATTCAGAATGAGGTCGCCGCCCTTTTCCTTAGGTATTGCTAGAAAACAGTCGTCGACATATCGATAGAAACAGGGTAATTTAATAGTCATTTTGTCAATAACTGTTTTTTCTAGGTCTTCGAGAACAAGTTGCGCAATTACACTCGAAATAGAAGCACCCATGGCACAACCGTTTTTTTTTTTTTTAATGCTCAGATGCTTCACTGCGTATCAGTAGATCCTAAACTTAACACAAACGTACACTCTAAAAAAATAAATAAATAAAAACTAAGAGGGAAAAAAAAAAGACATCAGATACAATGAATGTTTATTTTCCACTTCTATTTGTGATTCGTACGCCAAAGCAAGAACGTTATTGTTTTTGGCAATGATGTATGTTGTGGTACTTTTTCACAAACAGCGCTAATAATAGACATTTAAAAAAAATAATAAATTTGTGAGTATGACTAATATATGTCATTTGTTTTTGTAATATTTGTAATTTTTAAATTCGTATATGTCTACTGTTTAAGATATTCTGTGTTAGACGCTTTTTTTGTCCTTTGTTTTGCAGTTTTTGAGAAAGACCTGGGTTGCCGGTCGAAACGTCAATGACAATTACAGTGTTTTAAAATTATTTGTGAGTTTTGTTCACTGTGGACCAAACCCTAAGAATCATCCTATAATATATATATATATATATATATATATATATATATATATATATATATATATATATATATATATATATATATATATATATATATATATATATATATATATATATATATATATATATACAGTGTGTCCAAGATAAGCATGCACAGCATGGGGATCTCGGAAACTATAAGAGATACAGTGTCGGTTAAATTAGACAAAAGTTGCGCATTTTGATACCGAACAAGATCCCGTTTTACAAATTTGAAAATTCCAAGCCGTTCCGGAAATATCCGAGAAAAACCGAAATATTGCGCTTTCGTTTTTATTATTTTTTAAAGCTATTTGAAAAGATATGAAAAAACGGAAAACACTTTTCCATTGGCACTTTTTAATCTCTCCAAATTGACGTTAACAAATTTTCATTACAGCGTTTCGATTCCATGGAACCACCATCAACTTTGATTTTTCTTATGGGATGGAAAAAAAGTACACACAGTATTAGGTTGTGCTTTTCATTGCGAATTCAACGATGTACGATACAATACGGTTACTTATGTTTTTATCCAGAAAAATGGCTTTTTAATACATTTCTAGTATTTTATTGTAGTAGGCCATGAGATCCGAACGATGAAAGGCAAAAGAAAATGGTTGACAAGTTCGAGTTAATGTGTTTATTTATTTACTAACTCTAACTGTTCATTTAACATAACAACTAAATCCAACAAGTTAATGAAAAACAAATTCTATAACAAATGTTCGAATAAATGACCTCCATTTTCTAGGCATAAGTACGCCCGTCTCACGGTAGACTCCAAAACACGACTTAACATTTCAGGAGTAATTTTATTAAACGCTGCTCGTACTGATTGACGTAATTGTTCCTCGTTGTCAAAACATTCTTTGAATACCTCATTTTTTATGTAGCCCCATAAGAAAAAGTCCAAGGGAGTTAAGTCCGGGGACCTTGGAGGCCAAGGTGTTTCACTGTAAGTCCCAATGTATTTTCCATCAAACCGTTCAGTTAAATATTGGCGAACTTCTCTGGAGTTATGCAGCAGCCTTGCACAGCGCCTAGCGGTAAATCATCTAAGGCATCTTCTAAATCGTGCCTCAAGATGTCAAGGTACCGCTCGGAAGTTAAGGAATTATTATAGAAAATAGGGCCTATAATCTTGCTACCAAAAATCCCACACCAAATATTAACCCCAAAGCGAACTTGATGTCTGGATAGTCTATTAACACGTGGATTTTGTTGCGACCAATAGTGTGTATTGCGCCTGTTATAAATACCGTTATTGGTCACCATACTTTCATCAGACCAAATCACTTTATATGGAAAATTAAAACTCTCATCACACATCCTGGTATACCACTCACAAAAATGTCTACGTCGTTCGTCGTCACCCGGTTTTAATCCTTGACATATTCTGAATTTGTAAGGCTTAAATTCATTTTTCCTTAAAATAAACTGAGCTGTAGATTTAGCTACCCCATTCTGGTCTTCAATTTCTCTGGTAGAAGTTTGTGGATTTTCGATAACAGATTGTAGAACAATGTATTGGTTTTCTTCATTGGAAGGTTTTTGTCGGGATAATGCAGGCTTCTTAAATGATCCATATTCTTTCAGATTAAATAACAAACGCCGAAAAATACTCTTGTCAGGTTGTCTCCGCTCTGGGTATTTGTTAGAATACATACGCTCGGCTTCCACACAATTTCTTTGGCATCAGATGTAGCAAGACAGCATATCACATTTTTCTTCGTTTGTAAAATTACCTCCCTCCATTGTAGAACAAAATAAATTAGAAAAAGACAACAACAATAAAAATACAAAAACAATAACTAAAGGAATAAACTTATGATCGACTGATAACAAAGACAAATAACATTAATGTGTCATTGAAATTGACTGGATGTCATTTTGTCATGGCCTACTCCATTTAAATGCTGAAATGTATATGTAAAAATCCATTTTTCTGGATAAAAACATAAGTAACCATATTGTATCGTACATCGTTGAATTCGCAATGAAAAGCACAACCTAATACTGTGTGTACTTTTTTTCCGTCCCATAAGAAAAATCAAAGTTGATGGTGGTTCCATGGAATCGAAACGCTGTAATGAAAATTTGTTAACGTCAGTTTGGAGAGATTAAAAAGTGCCAATGGAAAAGTGTTTTCCGTTTTTTCATATCTTTTCAAATAGCTTTAAAAAATAATAAAAACGAAATCGCAATATTTCGGTTTTTCTCGGATATTTCCGGAACGGCTTGGAATTTTCAAATTTGTAAAACGGGATCTTGTTCGGTATCAAAATGCGCAACTTTTGTCTAATTTAACCGACACTGTATCTCTTATAGTTTCCGAGATCCCCATGCTGTGCATCCTTATCTTGGACACACTGTATATATATATATATATATATATATATATATATATATATATATATATATATATATATATATATATATATATATATATATATATATATATATATATATATATATATATATATATATATATATATATATATATATATATGACGTCTATTGCAATTATTTCTGGGGGTATCATGAACATGATACCAAATTGTTCACAGAATTACCCTTGAAAATTTTTCTGTTTTGCTTAAATGCTATTGTGAAATGCCATGAAGTCCTTTATACTGCGAAAGTGTGAATCCTAAACAAAATATTGTATAATTTTAGGAAAGGTTGTCGGCACTGCATGAAAAACAATTAGCTTCCACCCAGGAGCTTCAAAAACGCATAGAGCAAAAACAAGAGGACTCCAAGCGTAGACATGAAGAAAATATGGAACATATCAGACAAAGAGCTTTGGAGTTATCTATTCATCGTTGTCATCATGATGACAATCAGGCCCCAAATATGGTACCGTATACGACGCAAAAATTGTGTACAGTGTGCAATGTGCTCGTAAGTATTTTGCCTACTAACTAATAATCACCTATAGTTATTCCCATTACTGTTCGTGGGAAACATTCCAGTTACTTTGATACCCTGATACTGCCTTTTTGCTTAGTTTTCAATGTACCCACTACCTTATTATATTTTTTATATTTTAGGTTTTAAAATTGGTAAAGCGACATAATGACAAGATGGTATATTGACTATCATGCCGTCCTTTCTCTTTTAGATGAAATTTCATTTGTAGCATTAAGAAATTGTTGTTGATGTATTTAGTTGAATAAGCAAAGCTTGGCATATTAACACAAAAGCTGTATTCAGGATATATATTTTTTTAAATACAGTGTTTACACCTTGTTATAGCTTGGGTTTGACATAAAGTGAGATTGACATTGACACTGAAGCTCTTGCTTGAAAATTTGGCACTTTAAGAGGTGTGTTCAAAAAGTAAGGTGACTTTTAAATTTTATCTTAAAGTATTAAGATGTAATACATTTGTGCCAACCAAACATGAAACTTCTGGTAAGTACTTTTTGGTATAGCCTTGAGTTCTTCCAGCGATTTTTTCTTTGTCTCCTCAATCGTTCCAAACCTCCTTTTTTTCATGGGTTTCTTGAGTGGGAACAACAAAAACTCGCGGGGGGCGGGCCATATTCGGTGAATATGGTGGCTGAGGCATCATTGTGGTTTTGTTTTTGGCCAAAAAGATACAAGCAACAATGAATGAACAGATGTATTATCGTGATACAAAATCCATGAATTGTTTTCCCACAATTTTGGACGTCTTCTTCGATTGATTTTCGCAAACGGCGCATAACTTCAATTTATTGACCTATGTCCTTATGGTAAAAACTCTTGAGGTGCTAGGCCACGATTATCAATGAAAATAGTAAGCACAGTCTTGACATTTGATGGAACTTGACGTGCTTTTTTCGGTCTTGGCGATTGTTCTATTGGTACGACTGGACTTTGATTTCGACGTCATACCATATACCCATATTATATATACCAGTTATGTCCTTTTTTAGCATATCAGGATCATCATTTGACGGTCCTTTTTTTCAAGAATTAAGCAGTTTCGGTACAAATTTTGATGTTACACGTTTGATGTCAAAAACTTCGGGAAAAATTGCATGGCCCCAGCCAATAGAGATGCCGATGTCTTCAGCCGCTGTTCGAGATTCCGTGATTTTTCAACACCATTTGTTTCACTTTTTTAACGCTTTCATCAGTTATTGACGTGCCGGGGCGTTCAGAGCCAGGTTCGTCATCGACGTCTTCTCGGCCATCTTGGAACATCTTGTACCACTTACAAATCTTTTTTTTCAAAGTAGATTTACCATGTGCCGTTGTCACCATTGCAGGTGTCTCGCAAAAAAAGTAAACTTGCAAACTGGCCAAAACAGTGAACATATGTTAGGGACATGTGTACCAACATAACAATAGAAAATATCGAAGATCAAATGTACGTAGCCCGTCCAATTACAAAAGTCACCTTACTCTTTGAACACACCTCGTATGCTGTATAATTGTTCTTGAGTTTGAATCATATGGAAAAACATTTAGTACTGCAATTAAAAACATATTAGAAATAAAATAATTTGATTAATCCCAATATTTAACATAAAATAAAAACATCTGGTGAATATAAAACCTTCAGTAATGATCACTGACAGTCAAGTTAATGTAACTTGACTCAAATATTTCACCATAAAAATTTGTATATATGTTTGGTGCATATGTATACATATAGATATTTTTCGTATGGTTCCGACTTAAAGTTAACAGTGTTTCTTATAGTCGCTTTCAATAATTAAAATCTAAACAAGAAAGTTTCTTAATATTTTAAACTTCTATATTAATTTTTAGATAAAATCTGAAGTCTATCTAATGAGCCATCTCAGAGGCAGAATGCATCAAGAAGCTGTCAAGCAAGCAAACCCAGATTCAAATGGTTTAACATCGAATGAATTGGAACAGTATAATTTAAAACAAATTATCGATGCACCTGTGGGTAAAGAAGATCCAAAAGAAATAGCTGTAAAGGAGCGTGGGAAAACATACAGAAAAAGATGCAAGAAGATCAGACAGAGAATGGCAGTCAAGGGTAAAATATATACGGGCATAAAATTTACTTTTTATTAACGAAATTTTTGATGTTTGTTATGACTATTGCACCCCACTTTACTTAAATGCCTTAATATTTGCTTCTTTGTCTAACTTTTTAAAACTTTCATATATCCTTTCTTCGCAATAATTGAAATAATTTTTTTTTATGACTGACCAAATATATTTTACACGTTTTTTCTTCAGGTTCCTGTTTTTATTTCTTTCATCATTCATGCTTCATAACAATACAAATTGATGCATCATTTCCTTAATAATAAAATCTTAAAATCTCCATGCTTAATAACTGCAGCCTGTAAACATGTCTCTAGTAAAAATTACTTTTTATTAATATTAGGTGCAGAATATGAAACGGCCTACAAACCAGTTGTAACAGATGGTACAAACAAAAGGAGTCTCAATCGAAACATTAACACCATTGGCACCTTGACCAATCAAGCTAATCAAGGTATCTTTTGTGTTTTTATTTTCCAGTCTAGATTGTTTTGAATGTCTGTTGTCTTAGGATTATCACCGGCTAGTTTAAGTCAACTCGATAAAATCCTTAATGAACTATCTCGGCTATTAGCTAAAGGGAACGGAAATGATTTGTTGATGTTCCAAAGTGTTGGTGGTTTTGGAGTTTTGGGCAAGCTGCTAGCATTAGGCCAGGAAGGAAATAGCTCCATTTCAGTCAAGTAAACTTAGTGATATATAACTTGGACAATTTCAATGTTTATTTGGTAATGCTTTTCAGGACTCTTATTATTTGCTGCAGTCTGTGGCAGATAGCTTGCAAGGGTTTGGAAGGTGCCAAGAATTGCGAATATGTAATTTTAGCCAATAAGCTAACTCCTGTTATAGACCTTCTGAACTCAAGGTTGCAGGTAAATTATGCGATGTTTGTCATCTTTATGTAGCATTCAAAAATTTAAATTAAGTTCAATATTCCAATAGAAAAAAAAGTGTGAAAGAAAAAAATGTAAATATCAACTTTTTTTGAAGAACCAGCAACCTCACAAAGACGAAAACATTTTAATTGAATAACAACATTTTCAAAATTTATAGTCTAGGGTAGGTTACGCGATTATGTAAAACAAAACAAGAGGCATGATCCTTCAAAAAAGGTAACATCTCTGATTTCGAACTTTAAAAATTTGCGATTTTGCTACTAGATTCAATCATTATATTTACAAGCCATTAATAACATTTTTAAATGAATATCTGGGCATATTAGAGGGTTAGTTTATCTTGGCATCATTTTGATTGGCTGCAACTTTTTTGTTTTTGAAGATATTGTGACAATGTTATGGAACTTCAACAAAGAAATTATGTGGCAATCAATCAGAACTTTTATTAAATGTCAAAGTTGTTAGAATTAAACTTACGTAAAATGTGTTAAACAAAATGGTGGTCGCATATATTTTTATTGTTGCAAATGTGAAAATAGATCTTATCTAATTTCTAACCAAAAATCATCTATTTTTCTCCTGTTTTTGCCAATATCTTTAAAACAAATGGACTAATATATGAAGTCTGTTATATAATTCTAATTGGAATGCTGATAAGAGATATAGTGGTGTTGATTTAAAAATATATCAAATAGGCCGATATCTCAGGAAATTGTTAGTCTTTTGATTTACATGTCAATTAGAAAAAACTTGCACCTAACCGTACATTTTTATTTTTTCATTTATCTTGATGTCTTCAAAAACAAAAATGTTACAGCCAATCAAAATTTTATCACGACAAATTGAGCGGCACACAAAAATATTCTTCCAATAGCAGATTGAAGAATTACCGTTTAATGTTTTTACTTTCTTACCGACCTGCAGGGTGTCCTAGCTTTAAGAAAAACATTTGTAATCATATTTATAGGGTCCGTGGACTAAATTTTTCTGAAGAAAAACTTAACTGTTTTTTGTATATATAGAAATTATGAATTATGACTCTTTTGACTCTTGACTCTTTTGTTAAAAAAATAGAATAAATCAAATTTTCTGTAAATTAGATAAGGATGTTAAATAAAATTGTTGGTAGATAAAGCACTACAGTACACTTTTTCCTTCAAAACTATTGGGTCTACAACCCTCGGGCCTTTGATTCTAGAAATTTGTCTACTTTTTCTTTAAATTTTAACACTGTAATACGGTAAGACAGAATATCTAGACCTACATTTATAAAATGTGATCTCATTTTTATCTGTCATATTATAGGAACCTTTGGTGATGTGGATCTATTTTCGAAGGATGCAACAAAACATTCTTTTTTTACTGTCTCAATTCAATAGTTCTTTATTTCAGCGTTCCGACTAAGCTGTGAAAATAATGTTCTTTGTTGTTGGTCTATTTGTAGTGTCCCTACGTTACGGTTACAATAAAATGAACAACCAGAATACGTTAAATCTATATAAACGAAAACGCATCCCATGCATAAAATAAAAGTCCTAAAGACCCTACCGAATCGATGCGTAAAAAACCGGAGAAAAGGGTAAAAACGATTTTTCAAAATTGACAAATGGACCGGTTTTGTGTTGTCTGCAGGACTTTCAGTTTTCTCTTTGTATTTTTTTACGGACGATTAAGTTTCACTTATTACGGAGAACGAAAGTGAACAATTTCCCAATTTTATTCTAAGCGTTTTCTGAAATATTTGCCTCGGTCCGTTAGTTCGAGTTCGTATTGAAAAAATGCTACCGGGTTTGACGATTTGTTTAGTAGGAGAAAATAAATTCACGGCGCATAAAATATTAATGTAAATTGGAAGACTGTTTTTAGTACAGTTTTTAATTTTTGTTTATTGTTTTTAAAAAGATATTGAGTACATTGGGATTAAACAACATAATGCAGAAAAACTATGAAAAAAAAAAGAGTAAGAAGAAGGAAAAGGAAACATCAGTATTTCAAAAAATTCAAAAAGTTATTGGTGATTTCCGTAAGGAAACTTTTGTCCTGATAGTCCCCTAGCAGCTGAAAATTATTCAGGCTTCTCTACTTACATTACGCTTCTACAGGATTCCCTAAACTCGATAGCCTATTTGAAGTAAATGGAGAATGGAAAATAGGCATCTAAAACTTGAGAATTGGTCATAGCAGACTATAATGTCCATTTTTTTAAAATTGGGACGTTGCAACGTTGCCACATCTATTCGATATTTTTGGTTACTGTGAAAAATTTTGAAACCTATGTAATATGTTATCTGTTGGGGTATTTTGGAGATAAACATTTTTTTTTACAGTTTGGCAAATATAACATGCAGTTAAGGGTATCGCATACAGGAGGTCACATAAGTTATACGCGATTTTTAAAGGGAATCACCTGTATTTTATTATGGCAATAAAAATGCGATTCTTTCTTAATATAAAAATATTATAACACTCTAACTACTATCTACCCAGTTTGAACTGTTTTGCAGTAAAAAGCTGCAATCCAGAATAATTAAATTTAAGCAAATATAACTGCTTTAGTAGTAAGCTGTAGTGATATATTTTGACAATTCAAGATAAGATAATATTTACCAAACAATTTATCACTGCCGAACCTTCAGGATTATTAGTCCAAGCTATAGCGAGAAGGTTTTGGGTTTTGGGAGAACAGAATTTTTCAAAGAAATTTCCACAGGCTACTGTAACACTTTTTACAAAACTTCTGAATTCCTCCTGCATCGGTTTTTCCTGAGTCGAACTTGTTAATTTCGCCAATCATCCAGTTTCAGTCAAGCTCTGAAGAAGCCAACAGGATGATTGGCTAAACGTTAGTAACTTCGACTCAGGAGGAATCCAGAAGTTTTATAAAAAGTAGAGAGAAGAGAAGTTTAGCAAGTCTTCAACGATATTCTAAAGTTTTTTACTCACATAGCATAGTTTTGTAAACACACTGTATGAGTTACCTTAAATCTAATGTCGTAATAGTAGCTTGGCAAGTCGTAACTAACATCTTAGCTGAAGGGGTTATTCTTATGATATACTTCTTGCAAATTTTCTAAAAAGTAATTTCGATGTCCAAAATACCCCAAGAGAGCTATAATATACAAGGTGTTTTTTAAATTTTAAAAATAAAACTTCATATGAACATATGTCCTAAACGTCTTAACTTTTGAGATACAGGGTAGTAAAATTTTCAAAAATAAAATATATGTTTTAATATCTGCAATATCCCTTCAGATATTTTAATGAAATTTGTCACACATGATATGTGTGATCAAGAGGCATTATTTAGTGTACTTTCTTTAAATACACTAGTGGCGGGCGTACGCATACAATCGTATCAACCGTTTTTCAATCTGATGTACGGTTTTCGCTTGATTATAACAATATCGTTGATATGGTAGCATGCAGAGATATTAGTTTTTATTTTTAAGTGAAAACCGTGCGACGGACTAAAAAAAAAAAAAGAGATCAAATCTGCTCATAAATAAATGCAAATATCATTATTTTTTAAGGAAATCAGTGGCTATGAATAAATAATATTTTAAATTTTAAATTGAGAACTTTTTTTGGAAAAAACAAAATATCTGTCTAAAACAAAATATATTGAAGACTGTTCTTTTCACGTTTACAGTTTTAATCAAATTACATAACATCCTAACAAGATAAGTAATAAACGATTCTTATTTTTAAAAAAACTACCCACTATTAATGATTTTTAACAAAATTGTCTGTTAATAAATTAATGACAACCGTTTCGAAAAAAAGTAGAACATAGAAACTACATAAGTGGTTGAAAATATTCTCCATCTTGAAGGATACACAGTTCAGGGAATTCATTATTATTTATTTATTAACTTAATGTATTTGTGTCGTCATTGGAATATTCGCACATTTTTTTAGGTTGTGGGAGTCTATATATTTTTTGCTTTTCTCTTCTATCTCTGCAAATACTATCCACAGTAGTACGTAGGACGAGAATTGGACATGAGACGTGTCAAATAGTATGTCATGGCGACATAGTAGCTATAGAATAATCGTTCTGATTTTTTTTATAAAGGTGATTAGTCCTCTGCCTTTGAAATTATGTGTGGACTTTGAAATTCTTGATAGATATTTTATTTTACCTTAATAAGCGGAAGGTCTCATTAGCTCATGAACTCATTCTCACTCACTCATTGCCGCATACATAATGTTTGTTACTGCTTAAAATTTTTCCTGACGGCATTGTGACAGTTCGAGTTCGATCTTTTTATCTATTGCACCAATCTGGTGGCAAGCGGAATTGGGAGTAATATTGGATATATTTTAGGATTTGGGGGATTTTGAAGATTCTCTTCCATCCGATCCACTCAGTACTGCCCTTATGCAACTGTTGGCGTTAGTCTTAAAAAATGCTCCAAAAACAACACCAACAAGCAGAATACAAGATGTCTTAAGGTAAGAGTTTTTTGTATTTCTAAGCCATTTAAAACAGCCGTTTATTTAACAACTTCAACTGCAAATATTTAGTCTGCAAATTTAAGTCGGTATTATTGTTAACTTCTTTATTATTGAAGATCGATTAAATTAGTGTAGTATTTATTTCGGCGATTAAAGTGGCTGTAGCGTTTGCGATTGATTTTAAAACAATATATTTTTAAAAACGGCATTGGCATCTATTCTTCATCATAGTAACAATAATAAATAAGTAAAGCAACTCGGCATGTTCAAATTATTATTAAAATGTTCATTAAATGTTGCAATACATATCCTACATGCTGGACGCTTTAAAACGCTTCGGTGAAACTACCTCTGTGGATGCTGCGTATGAACGACGGCTTGTATTGGCGATTTTGGTCTTTCGCTTGGTCATTTATATAAATGGGACAATTATTATTTAATGATCGAAAAAAGTGTTTAAAAATTGATTTATGTAGAAACGTTAAATATTTAAGTGTTTTCTAATAAACTATTTACAAAACTTCTGGATTCCTCTTTCGTCGGTGGTTGTTCAGTCGAACCAACATTTCGCGAATTCTGTAAGGCTTCTTCTGCAACTCATGCGAAATGTTAGCAAGTTCATTTCAACATCAACAGACGCGGGAGGAATCCGGAAGTTTTGTAAATAGTAGCCTTGGGAAGTTTATTTGAAAAATTGTTTTCTAATGTTTTCAAAAAAAATGTTCAAGTCAGAATACATTATTTATTACATTTTTTATTATTAAAGAAACCTAACATACCCACAAATTTATCTAAATATGTAGTTTTAACAACTATTTTTTATTTCTTGAAAAAGGAATGGTTTTAAATTTTCTTTTTCAATTTTTGTCGTAACTAAATCGCTAAATAAAGAATACTGATTTTTTCTAAATAATACGCACAAACATACGGTTATCGTGTCATACAAATGACAATATAAAATAACCATTTATGTATTTTATTTATATAATAACTCACTCAGTGATTACTTATTTATAAAACAAAATCGGATTATGTAATACGCGTTGTATGCGACACAAGAATCTACCACTTTAAAAAATGTGTATTAATTAACACTAACTTATTACTCTCAAAAATAGTCAACGGATATCATCAACAGGGTAAACGATTGAAATGATTTCGCAAAGTAGCAACAACGATTTTCGCTCAAAAATGTGACCAGAAAAATTGAGAAATAATATAAAACAATCAACTAATCAAATCAACAATGAACCAAATAATATAACAAACAAGTACGACATAGAAAAAAATCCGAATTAGTAGGCCGGCAATGCAGATTTTGCCTAGACAAAGCTAAGTATTTAACCCACTAAATTCGGATCTGAAATTCGATTCGCGATAGGTCGCGCATGCCTAATTTGCACCTAATGTAGAAGAAGCGTCGTTATTGTTATTATCGATGATCGTTCCGAGGTTGACAGGACCCGCTTCGGTGGCCATTTAACATTTCTGTTCTCGGGACAAGAATTCGTGGAAGACGAAAATGTTTATCGCGAAGACATGCCTTCGCGACATTCTCCGACGTTTTTTTTTTAACGTTGTACAGCGATTAGATAGGGCGGGCGGCGCTTCGTGGGGCCGACGACGTCGCCCGATAGCCTCTCACTCCATTCGGCCAAAACCTGTTTTCGATTATCTCCTTTTGTTTTCGTTAATTTCCATACGTTTGTCGCGCGGGTATTAACATAACTTCGGGTATTTATTTAGTTTTATTGATTTTGAAGCGGTTTTCTTTTTTCTTTTTGTTTAAATCGAGACTCTGTGTACTCATTTAATGGTTTGGATTTAAGTAGCGTGACCACACGTATTTGACATTGGCTACCGATGGTTGCGAGTATTGTTTTCCATTTTTGTATGATTAAATCATGTAGTTACTAGACATATAGAGGCCCGGCCTACACTGACAGTAGAAAAACTCATGAAGCAACTATGTACAATTTTTTTGAGAAGGTCCATCAACGTGCTCCTGCTCGAGATTTAAATTTAAAATAAGACCTTGCTGCTTTCAACAAACAACATGGCCGCTGAGAGATCGTCGATGTTTGGATGCGGCTTTTTACGGCAGTATTTTCTCAAAATATGTCGAAATCCTATTAAATTTTCAGGACTAGAAAAGCACTGCAGAATTGCAGCACTCACGTCGGCCTCAGTATAATTCTGTAATTAATTTGGCGTTTTTGTTGTTCAAGCTAGAATACAATTTCTACATGTATTTTTTGTGTAATCTATCTTTTTTTTGTAAATCAACGCAAAGCATTAGTTTTCATAAACTCGTAGGTTTAGAATCCATTGAAATAACTTTGATTTGCTAGATAGTGGCCAAGAATCATCTAAGTGAAAAAATATTCAAGGAGCACCTGCTTTGGACAGTAGTTGACAATGGGTATTTCTTATTGTTCTAGTAAAGATTCAACTTGCTTTCTTATATTTATTGTAATTCTTGTATACTAAAACATATTACCCTAACATAGCTATTTAAGTGAAACCTAAAAATGTAGAGAATTTTGTTTGGTAAATTCACATGTAAAAAGGTCCTCACATTTGCCACATTTAATGAAATTTCGTAAAAGAACAAAGTATTGAAAGCACAAATTATACAAGTTTGTGAGTACGGCACTGAGATATTGACACCAAGAATGAAAGCAACAACGGCACAGGGCACGGAATGTTCTGCGACAATAATAATTACTTAGCTCGGCGTTGCCAATTATGTTGGGATTCGAGAGTTTGATGTTGCGTTCTTATAAAAATTAACTAATTTAACAGAAAAATTACGAAAATATCATAGCCATCTGCTGCGCATAAATTTTTACCGTAGTAGGGCCATGATCTGATAGCTGTAAGGATTATATTCATATTATAAACTTTTTCACAAAATTCGTATTAGGCATGCGATTTTTTTAAATTCATAAGTAGCACTAAGATATCTCCAATATATTCTATACAAATAGGATTCAATATACAAAAAATAGAAAATTGCAGTTTCGTCTCTGGATTTTTCAGTTGATGATTCACAAACGTCTCTTCTTCAACATCAACTGTTTCTGGCAGCTTCAAGTTTTTTTTATTTTATAGAGAAAAAGATAGGAAAAAACGCCACTCTGTATAAAGGGCGTCGGTCGCTGGCTTTAAAAATAAGTTTCGTAATGCCGAGAATCTGTTTACAATAATGTTAAACTTGTTCAAGAGGAATGTGGTTTTGATTTGCATCATTAATAGAACGTGTTAAATAAAAATATTGTTTTAAAATTTAAAATTCTACAAAATTTCAAAATTTTGACTTAAATTTGAAATAGAATTAAATAAAAATAAGAATCTCCAAAATAAGGATCTTTAAATTTTGATACAAAATGTTTATTTAACATTTTGGATTACATTTGCAAAAAAGACCAGTTTATTCTTCAACCAAACTAATGTTTTTTTTTTAATTTTGGGTATCCTGTGAAACAGTCTCTCGACACTGCGAATTTTTTTATAAAGTGGTTTTTTTCTCAATTTATTTTTTTTAATTCACTTCTATGGGGGTGTTTTGCGACGCATCTCCCTTATTTACAACGCTAGCTTGTTGCGATTTTCGTGATCCAAGGTCATTTTTTCGTGAAATGAAAGGTGGAGCAAACAGAAATATCATAGGTATTTTGGATTTTTGAGATAAGTGGTGATTTTGGAAAATTTATCCGTAATTTTTTCGAAAAAATGAAAACTGGTCTGGAGAAGGTTCTTTTACGTAGGATCCAGCGACGTAGTCTTCTTTTCTTAGACTTACAAATTTTTATATATAAACTAAACTTTTGTTTTTTTAATGACGCACCTTATATGTCTTTTAATAGTTTTATTTGGCTTATTACTAGTTATTCAGAAATATTCCTACTTCAGATACAATGCAGATTTTCTTTACATAAATTACATAATTTATCACAAAAATCTAGTGTGCAATGAAATTTGTGTGTGTGCAATTTTAAGTGCGCATTGATCCAATTTCTTGTAATTATCACATCGGGGGTTAACGTAAGCCATCATGATTATTGATAAAGATGAAGATTGATAAATCTCTGCCACCAGAAATCTGGAATTGCGAAGTTGTTGACAGCGTAATATATTTAAATGCATTTATTAAAAATAACGGATACTGCGAAACATAGATTACGCGTTGCATTCAGCTGGGTAGTGGAAATACCGAAATATATATCTGTTGAAACAAAAAAATCATTTGTAAAATAATATGGGTCATGGACAGCTAGGCCTGAACACCGTTTATCATGCTTAACAGCTGCCCCAAGCGTCGGGCAACTTTCCAACCAGATGGGCTGACACTATCCACAAACTAACAGGATTTGGGCTGGAGAAAGCAACTAGAAAATCTGAAAATCAACAAAGATGGCAACAAGCGATCAATCGCATTATAACGAAATTCGTTCACGATATTGGACTAAGAAGAGATAGCCGTCGCTGATGGAAGAAGAAGCAGAAATTAAAGTAATATAATTACGAAATGCTGCAATTGTTTGACAACTAAAGTATATTAGGGAAACATCACCTTTTTTCCTTGGTCTAGTCATAAAAAAATACAATTAAAGATATATGCTTCGTATTTGAAATATTTTTGAAAAGCTCGTATTAAGTCCTTCCATTAAAAAATACACGCGTTTGGTTTGTATATCAATTTTTTTTAAATTTCACTACTGCTGCACTGGATCTTACTACTAGACCCGTACAAAGACCAGTTTTCATATTTTCTATAACCAAATTGCAAAGATTGCCTAAAGATGCGACATTTTCACAATCACGCTGTGTCTAAAAATGCAAGAAGATCATTTGTGTTTTGTGTAACCTTTAATTTAATAAAAAAGCAAAAAAGTTTTTCAAAATTTTGTTGGTACCTAACTTAAAGCACCAACACACGTTTTAATTAAGAAAGGAAGAAAAGCTGAAAAGTCTAATTTTTTATAAATCTCAGT